CACACACACACACACACACACACACACACACACACACACACACACACCAGGCTCTCTCTCCAAACAACTTTAAAGGGCAGGTGTTATAAGAATCTCAGTGATCATTTGGTTAGGGACTTGCTACCTAGAATCCCTAGATCCTGCCCCTCCAACTACAGAATCAGGACCCCTGGGAACTTGCCTTTGGAACTAGCTCCCACATGATTCTACCACCCCTTAGAGACTGAGCTATAGGGTCCCCAGAAACCTACATGCCAGTGAGCTATGTGCCCAGGGCAACAGGAGGGCGAATGGCAGCAACAGCCCTGTTCTTCCACCCCTCCATCTTTTCATCACTTTGGGCTGCATATCAGCACCAGGGGGGAGCTTCAGCTGAGGCAAGTGGATGCAGGGCGGGGTCTAGAAGACCACTGAGATCACAATGGGCCTGGGTTGGCCATCTTCTAAGCAGCAGGTGGCCTCGCAAGTCCTGCAGGAAATGGAGGATAGGGAGGGTGGGATGATGAGGGTGGCAGGAAGTAGAGTATGTGTGTGTGTGTGGGGGGTGTGCTCCAAAAACAGTGGCACTCCCACAGTGGAGCTCATGGAAGCCGCAGGACGCAATTGCTGAAAGCACAGCGTTTGCTAATGAGAAGGAAGCTGAGGTGTGTGATACAGATAAATCAAGTGACAGCAGAGATACCAGTGCACACTCTATGGGAGAGAGGTCATGTCACCAGTAGGACCAGTAGGACCTTGGGGGAGTTACTTGGACTCCCATTGTAATCTGGAAATGGATGATGACACATCTCTTTGAATACTGACTCACTGCACTAAGACAGCGGTTCTCAACCTTCCTAATGCTTTGACCCTTCAATATAGTTCCTCATGACCCCAACTCTAAAGTTATTTTCATTGCCGCTTCATAACTCTAATTCTGCTGCTGTTATAAACTATATGTAAATACCTGTGTTTTCCAGTGATCTCAGGAGACCTCCGTAAAAGAGTCATTTGACCCCAAATGGGTTGTGACCCACAGGCTAAAAACCGCTGTACTAAAGCCTGTGTTCCCAGCACAGGACCTGTCAATATTCCAAGCCTATGATGTAAACGCTCCAGTTTCACTGTTACTGTCCTTTTGCAAAGACAGTACCTTGGCCAGCAGCTCAACAGGAAAGCTGGAAGGTGGCTCAGCCTGGGGTGGTGGGGGAACCCCCTCCGTGGGATGTTTGAGTGGAACCTGCTTATACCCGATTCTCATTTGTATTGTCTCCTAGCATTTCTACACGCCTGCCTTGGAAGATGAAGGCAGAAGAACAGCAGATAGTTCTCTGAGTTCTAAGAACCCCCATTGCCATGTCGGAGAAAGACAGAGCAAAGAGAGTACCTTAACATCATGGTTAAGTAAGGGTGTGCCTGGGGGTCAGGGCAAGGATCACAGTGTTGGGTGTGGGAAGAACCATGAGGCAGAGTTCTCTAGAGAAAAAAAGCTGGGTCTAGGAGAGGCATGGAGAAAGAGCAATAAGAATTTTCTGCAGATTGGATTGTGACCCTCAAAATTCCCATGATTAGGTTGGGGAGGCAGCTGAGTCCATGAAGTGCTTATACACACAAGTGTTTGAGCCCCAGGAACCCACATAAAAATAAAAGGCAGGTATAGTACCCTTGTAATCTCAGTGATGGGGGTGGGAGAGAGGTAGGCTGCTCCTTCAGGGCTCTCTAGCCAGTAAGCCTGGTCTACTCTAATTCATTCCAGGCCAATGAGAAACTCTGTTTCAAAATAAGTGGATGGCATTCATCTCAGGAATGATACCCAAGGTTATCCTCCGGCCTCCACATGTGCCTCTCCACTTACACACACACACTTATACACACAGGCACGAACACACATGCACATTCTCAGGTCAAGTCCCAGCCTCGGAAAGCAGAACCCCTCGGGGAACTCTTCAGGGCACGGAGTATAAAATCATCTGCAGTGAGTTCATGCTGGAACGGGCCGGCCCATTGTCTGTCATGACTTGGCACCCTTATTAAAAAGGAACCTCTAGACACACAGAGTGAACCCCATGTGACAAATGGAGCTGTGCTGTCACAATCGGGTGACCACTGGGAGCTAGAGGGGAGCCTACAACAGAGTCCTTCCTGGCAGTTGTGGGAGGTCCTGCTGGCATTGTGAGTTGGGACGTCTTCCCCCAGGACTCCACGCAATACTTGCTGGTCTTCTAGGCTACCCGGTTGTGAAAAACAGGCTCAGCAGTCCGGGGAAGCTAACACAGCATTCCAGGCGAGAGGAGGCCTCTAGCAAGCCGTAGAGAATATGAAAACTACGAAACTATCATTTTGGTAGCTTGGAAATAGCAGATGGCCGCAACTATGCTCAGCTCAGACTAAACTACTGTCAGACTAATCATGTGGGGCCAACTGACTGAATAAGGGTCAGGTCTGGATAAACAGGCCCCCTTATTCTGTGGTCACCAAATGAATCTCAAAGAAAGCCCCACAAGGTGACAGGCGTGTAAACAGCCTTTATTACTGGAGGTTGACCAGGAAGCTGCAAGTGTGAACAGATTCCATGGTGTTTTAAGGCTTTAAAATTTCTCATTAAAACTTTTGAAAGTGGGCCATCTCAGCAAAGAAAGGGACTCGCCGCGAAGGACCCAGGACCCACATTATGGGCATGAACCAATTCCCACAAGTGATCCTATGACCCCCCCCACGCACTGTGCAGCATGTGCGCTCAGTCACACACACACACCCTAAATAAACAAATACAAATAAGTTTAAATTCTTGGAAATGTCGCATCAGAATGACTGGAAGACTGGAAGGTTACACAGTTCACGATTGGATGTGATATTTGTCCTAAGAAGAAAGTGTGTGTTTTGGAATTCATCAGGCAGCTCCTGCATTTCACTGCCAGGTGGGGGAGGGGGCAGAAATGACGGGGAAAGTTCCTCTCCTTGTTTCTTTATAACACAACCATGGGGCTCTCACTGTTTATAAACACCTGGGCTCTGGGGTGAGGGGTGGGTGGATAGGGTCACTTGTGGATGGGAAATGGAGTAAGCCATCTGTAGAGATTTTCCAGAAATCCCCATGCACACTACCCAGCCTGCCTGTATGGCTTCCAGAACACATGTGTGTTCTCCTCATTTATACCCCTCCAAACAATTCCCCACCATTCACATTGTAACCAAAAGATCATAGGGTCAGGCCTAGTGGCACAGGCCTGGGGAAGGAGGCAGAGGCAAGAAGATCATAGGTTCAAGGCCAGCCTGGACTATAGAATGAGTTCAAGGCCAGCTTGGATACCTTAGAACTTATTTCAAAATACAAAATACGGGGGGGGGGGAAGTAG